CCGAAAAGAAAAAAGAGAGAAAAAGGGAAACCTTTCAATATCATCCACTAATGGAACAGGGCCATGATTTCTCTTGTAAAAGAAATCTACGGGGGTCACATAAGACGAAATCAGGGCGGAGCGCGGTGGCTCTGCATTGAAGGGCTCCTGAGGCAGAGATATTCATAACAAATTTTACCAAAACGAAATAATGAGACCCAAATAATGAAATTGCGAAGAACCCCAGAGAAAATCAAATAATTTCAGACTACAAGAAAACGATTGCGATTCCGAGAACAAAAGAAAATTCGCATGGAGATGGAAGAAGGAAGAAGCTTACCTTGGCGTTGATTCGGAGACATGGGTGACGAAGTGGCTCTTGCGAGTAATCTGAGGGTGCAGTTAATCCAGGCATCTTCTCACTCCTTTAGAAGCAGAAAAGATCTTCAGCGATGTGTGAGAGAATGGCAGTTCTCAGAAGATGGCAATCAATTTCGCAAAGATGACTAGATGTCGCAACGAGTGCTTGTAAAATTAACCGACAACGATAAAATTTTACGTGGACACTCTTTGGAGTTCGATGATCCTGAGTTGTCGCTTTTGCCAAATCTGTGTGGCTTTGGGTATGTTCTCGATCCTTTTAGCACACTGTTTCACTTTTTTTTATTTTTTAATTATGTTTGGTCAATCCGGTTTTTAACTCCTTGGTTAGAGATGAGAAAAGATTGAAACTTTATAACGAAATTAGAAATTAAAACTAGTTAATATATGAATGAAAACTTTCTTTGCAAAACTTTAAAACTCGTTACAATAATATGGGAAACTAAGAATTAAATAGATCGGGGTGAAGTAATATACAAAAATTTAGTGACTAAGAAGTTGAGTCTGGAACAGCAGAATCAACAGAATCAACAGAATCAAGTAACTTAAATTTAAGGATCTTATGTACAGAAGCAACGGGCTTCAGATCCCTTCTAGGAGCTTGATTTGGTTCAACTGCTTTTTCCGAGCGACGATTTGTTTCAGATGGCACAGCTTCTTCTTCAACCATAGAGACTTCCTCTACAATAGGGAACACAGACTTTTCAGTGTAAACAGAACATATCCCAACATTTTTTAATCTTCAAAGAACAAATACAAAACTTGCTTTAAGGTTTAGGAATCAAATGGTTTCATTTCCTATAAAATTTACTCACCTTCTGCGAAGGTAAGACATGTACCTATGGTTTCTTCATATTCTCCAATCTACAAAAGAGAGAGACAATAATGGCAGGAGATTATACATTATGGTTCTGCTGCAGTGCTCTAGGTGTAGAGCTTGTATCATTTATTAACAACTCACCATCTTAATTTTGTCGCAGATAGTTAAGATTGGATTCATGGTGTCCAAACCCTGCAAAGCAAATTAATCAAAATTCACATAGACCATATAAATATTAGCTCGCAGAGAAATATTCAGTACTTGAAATTAGAGTGGATCAGAAAGATACATACAGATAGAACATATGGGGCATTGGGTGGGATGTCAAGCAGCGATACATCCCCCAGGTCAATCAATACATATTCTTCCTCGCCATCAGAGGCAGAATCAATTGCAGCTTTCTCCATGTTCCTTACAGATACCTCTGAAAAACTAAATTGAAATCGTTAGCGGCTTAGTGATGCTAGTAATATCAAGTAAAGTTTTCCTTCCAAATAAGTGTGTAGAGTGCAAAGGATAAAACAAAACCCTAAGGAAGTTTTCTTTTCTTTTCTTTTTAATCCCGCTTGGATGTGGACTTGCAAAAAACATGTTTCCAATTATACTCAATAAGAGTTTCTTTTTTAATTTTATAATTTACGCCTTCGAAGAAACTCAACAGCATTCAATAAAAAAAAAAAAAAAAAAAAAAAAAAAAAAAAAAAAAAAAAAAAAAAAAAAA